TATATAATTAGGGGGTCCCCGCTCCATCTTGTCATCAGTTTGGGGGTCCTTGGCCTGGAAAACGTTTAAGACCCCTGCTTTATGGCTTAATGATAGAGGTGGGCTTTAGGCTGCCCTGCAATGGCCCCCACTGGTTCTTAACTTGATGCTGTGTCTCTGTTTGCGTTTTTGTCAGGAATGGAAATTTTCTCATTCTTGATGTTCTGACCAGAGGCTCTGGGTAGGATTGATTAGAACTTAAAACTGCTGTAGCTCAGTTTATTCAAATAGCATCAGTTGGTCTTTGACCACACAGAGCTGCTGTGGGGAGGCATTATAGGACGGTCTGGCTCTATTTAGTAGTAACCATGTGGCTCTCTGAGAGTACTGTCGTTCAATTTCAATTTCATTCAATTTATCTTTATTGTCATTGTCACAAGAACAACGAAATTTTAAAAAGTGCCATCGATCAGTGCATATGCTTAAAAAAAAAATCACTGTCACCACCATTTACACATAATATAAGAAATAAATAACATTAATCATCCATGATGATTAATGGATGATGTGTCGTTCTGCCACTAGAGGGTGCCACATTTATGTATGACTTCTAATCGCGCCCGGTACTGGAATTCTATTTAGGCTCAGAAAGGACTGTCTAAACACTATCCGGGCACGTGCTTTACTGTATGTATATTAGTGTTACACCGATACCGATACTAGTATCGGGCGGGGCCCCGATCCAGCACTAAAATGGTGGTATCGGCGAGTACCAACCAACAGGGCACCGATACCATTTTGAGAGCCAAAAGTTTATTCAACTATTGTCACCCATTCCAGGTAGCAATAAAAAGTTCTACTGGATTCACTTTGTATTAGTCTTTTTCCTGCTTCACAAAGGTAGGCAGCAGCTTGCCAAAGCCATGATGGGAATTATTTTACATCCAAGTAGGATGCAGTTCTTCATATATACACACACATCCATTTATACCAGTATGGTATCGGTATCAGCCAATGTTGCACAGCCAGGTATTGGGTATCGGGACCAAAAAATGGCATCAGTGCAACACTAATGTATATAACAGTATTTTAGGGTGACCATATTTTCATTTGGGAAAACCAGGACACCTTGGAGCGGGGGGCGGTGGCGGGGGGGATCTCTGTTCCCATGCATAGAGATGTCTGTGGCATGCACTCAATTAACATAGGTCTACGTAATCCTACAATAACATATTTACAGTTGATTTATTAAAAATGATTTTCAGTAAAAGTCAACAGCAATAACTCCAATAACAAATGATAATTTTATTCAAAATGTATTTATTACATTACCATTTGTCTCGACCTGGTCTGAAAGCGGGGAAACTCTTTTGTAAATCGTCGGTAAACATACATTTGCGCCTTTGCATGTTGTTGGCGTACTGACAGCCACGCTATTTATATTGTGATTAAGAACGGCTGCCCGCACTGGCGTGGCTCAGGGGTTACGTCACACGCAGAGCCGTGCGCAGTGCCCTAGTGCCTGTAAATTTAATGGTCCAATGGAGGTAATTTAAAAAAACAGGACATTTCCTCACTTTCTAGAAAAAACCGGGACGCCCGGGACAGGACGTGAAATACGGATATGTCCTGGGAAATACGGACGTTTGGTCACCCTACAGTATTTCATAATGGTCAATTGGTTTTAGTTCTTTTTGTTAAAGCCTATAACGTTACTATACACGTTTAAAGGAAACCCAGATAGCTTCTTTGCACATTTTCCATTTATTAGATTTACCCTCCGTTATATTTACTAGTATGTCATACCAAACTAATATTCACATGTTCATATTAAGTGTGTTCCTCCTCCTTTTATAAAAGAAATAAAACTGAAAATGTCTCCAAAGGGTTGTTGATTTAAAATATTGTATGGAAGAGATGTAGTTTCCAAACCTGAAATAAAAATCTGATGGTTTTTTTGTTGTAAATTAAAGAAAAAAAGCCAAAGCAAACGTTTTTATGGTCTAATGTGAATCTTCTCTCTCTTCTGTTTATCTCTTCCCAGCTCGTAACTTTAATGTTCAAAAAGCAGAAAACATGATCAGAAAGGTGAGATCTATGACACCTCTTTACAATCTGTTACATACATGTAAAAACTGATTTACTATAGAGAGAGTATACAACATGCTTAAATTATCTGCATGATTGTTAATGTTTACACTTCAGTTTATCAACTGTTTATTTAATCTTTTGGCCTCCATGGTGAACCTTAATTGATCTGTTAGCTGTCTGCTGCGTGCTCTAATGTCTAAACAAAAGTCTGAGGCTTTTTCAGAAATGATGACGATGTAAATTTACACAGAGGAGTGATTCTTATTTTCTCTTTTTTTTGTTAATTTTTAATTTTCTTTCGTGGACTCCTGCTTCCCTTTGCTGCTCCTACAGCATGTGGAGTTCAGGAAGCAGATGAAAGTGGACAACATCATAGCCGATTGGAAACCTCCAGAGGTATGAAAAAGAAAACAAACATGTTTTTTCACCTTTGCTCGTCTAATCGGGTGTCATATCGAGCGCTGTCATGCCTTTCGCTTTATAATGCGAACAGAAGGAGGTCCTTTTTTGTTGAAAGCAAAGAACATGTTTTGTAAGTGGAAATGACAAAGAAACAAAAAAAAGAACACTTTTAAATGGAAAAATAGCAAACCAGAAATTAAACTTAAAAATAATGATTAATCAAAGAAAGATATTGAGAGTAACTTTGCTGTTTTATCAGATTTAGTTTTTTCACATTTCTCTTTCAAATTTCTCACATATTCATCATACATTTTTTTGCAGATTTTAAAGTTGTTGTTTTTTTTTTAAAAATTTATAATTATACATTTTTTCTTTATTATCTATCTCTTTATTATTTTCCTGTTTAATTGCGTTTTACAGATCTAATTTTCTTGACTTCTGGTGACTTTTATCTGGAGTAAAACATTTTATTGGTTAATGTGCTCTACAAAAGCAATAGAAAATAAAAATTACAAAAAAAATTTAAATTATAAAGAACTTTGAAAAAACTCGAATTAAGAAGAAATTTTAATCCTAAATGATATAGAAAAGGGGGGAAATGTCCCCTTCACTTTTTACTGTCCAAAAACAATGTTACGTTACACCGGAAATACATCTGCACTGGAAATAGGATCCTATGCTACTTCTGGGAGCTAATGCTTTCAGCTTTGGATTTAAACATAAATGTAGTCTTTTTGAGTTTTATTTTTTCGTTTTGTGTAAACATTAGGGTATATAGTGTGTAATCTAAAGAAAGAAACGAGTAAAACGCAGATAAACATGGTTTAATCATATTTTGCATGACTGCTCTGAACATGTCCAATGATGTCAGACGAGCTGTTTAACGGTTAAAAATGTGAAAAGGATCAGAAATTATCTAAGAAAAGTCGTAAAACATTTTTTAAAGGTGTGTATTAACATTTTAGTGAGTTAAGCAATTTTAGTACCATAATTATTGAATCCCAGATGTATATCTGGTTGCATATGCGCAGGTGATCCGATGGTACGGATCGTGCTTCCAGGACGGTTCAGGCAGTGACACCGCTTCCCTGAGTTTAGACCGCCCACACGCTCCTCATTTGCCCTCTGTCTTTTCTTGTTTAGCTATATAGTCCCCGTTCTATGTAGTGATTGAAGGATTTAGGGGTTAGAGAGAGAAAGAACTATGAGAACAGGAACTTTGAAACAGAGCGCGCACGAGGAGAAATAGGCATGTGCACGCTCTTGCACGCTTTTAATAGCCATTTCCTCTCAGGAGCGTGTACAGGGTTGTACATGTGAAGAATTTAAATGGCTAAATACACTTAATCGATAATTTTTGGCTCATTTAAAGATTGTTTTTTTGCCGTGCAAAGTTTAATTTCTGGACTGCATTTTTTTTTCCAAATATCAATTTAAATAACATGTTATTTGGTTGCAACAATAATCAGACAAAATTCCCTCCATTGGTGTTTCTGCTCCTTTCTACGGAGTCCCTTATGGGACATGAGGAATTTTTTTTTTTCTTTTGCGTTCCCTCGCAAAAGTATTGCGTCACTTCGCAAAAAAGAAAAAAAAATTCAAGAATTTCATACAGCAGTTTGGTAACTATTGTGCTTTTTCCTCCAGGTGATTGAGAAGTATGTATCCGGTGGGATGTGCGGCTATGACCGGGAAGGGAGTCCCATCTGGTACGACGTGATCGGTCCTCTGGACCCTAAAGGCCTGCTGCTGTCAGCCACCAAACAGGACTTCATGAAGACGAAGATCAGACACATTGAGATGCTGCAGTGGGAATGTCGGAGGCAGTCGGAGAAGGTCTGGAAAGACTTCTCCTCTTATCTCTCCTCTGTTGTCTTCGCTCTTTCCACAGAATTAAAATACTGTTCAAATCTGTCGAGATCTTATTGTGGATTAAAATATTCTGCTTCTATCTGTGGATTATGTTACTTTCTAAAAACCAAACATACACAAAGTACGTCACTGATGTTGGAAAGACATTTCCATTTCCCACGGTCCCTGAATGCATCAGCCAATAAATCTGTTGTGCCAAAAGTTTTAGTCAAAAAAAAAAAAACATTTGCAAATGCAAAAAAAACAACTCTTTAACTTTTTTTTCAGTTTCATGCTGTTTTTTTCTGTTGCAAAACTTTTTTCCAATTGAAAATTTTTCCAGTTAAATTTTTTTTTCAGATTCCAATGTTTTTTTCCCCCTATGAATAAACTTTATGGCCCAAAATTTAGCGCCGTACTGATCCCTGCTTCGTCTCTATTGCTCTAACATTTCCGGCCCTCTCTCTGTCTGTCTGCTGCAGCTGGGGAAGAACATCGAGTCCACCACTCTGATCTATGACTGCGAAGGACTGGGTCTGAAGCACATTTGGAAACCTGCTATTGAGACTTACGGAGAGGTTTGTTTTTCACGCTCGCTTTCACGACATGCTGTCTCTGGTCCACTTGGACTCTGCCTAAACAGTGCTTTATGGTTGCAGATCCTCACCATGTATGAAGACAACTATCCCGAGGGCCTGAAGAGGCTTCTTCTCATCAAAGGTACATCCACCCATTTAGATTTTCTAAATCTCTCTTTTTTTTCTCCCATGTTGTTTTAAACTTGAGGTAAAAATATTTCTGTCTTTTGCTGCAGCTCCTAAAATGTTTCCTATGGCCTACAACCTGATCAAGCACTTCCTGTGTGAGGAAACCCGACGGAAAATCATGGTTTTAGGAAGTAAGAGGACTCTTCTTCACAGCTCAAGCAATAACATTTCTCACATTCATTCCCCTTTATTTTAATTAGTTCACAAAATGACTCAATAAATCCTTTTTTATCCCCTAATTATTTCATTTGGAAAAATATTCTTAAATGAGTTAAGATCAGAAAAACTATTAGGAGAAACAAATTAATGAAATAAAAAAATAATAGAGCATGTAGCAGGATGTTTTAATGCTGGAGGTTTCTTCCTGTTAAAAGGGAGTTTTTCCTCTCCACTGTCGCTACAAGCATGCTTAGT